TGCAGATCTGCTCAAAGTTTCTCAAAATTATGACCATCAACCTGAAGAACTAGAAATAAAGTTGATCCGACAGGAAAAGTGTCTGAAGTACTTAGTCAGCTTTTCAGGATATGTGACATTTCAGGTCAGTGGTTACACTTCTTAATGGCTGATAAAGAAACTACAGTTTATTTTGAGTGATTTTGGTTGTTTTGTCATACATACAGACGTTTTAGGGTGATGCATAGTATTGTGTGGCTGTGCTGAAGAGCTTGTAACACTCCAAAGAGAAAGGAAAAAATGAAATTGCATCATATGTGTTGCTTAAGCCTATGATACACGGGGCAACTTTTTGAGCAATTTTGCTGGGCAAAAGATAAGACACAGGACACACGACCGATCTAAAGTATCCAGATAGAAATTTGTTGCCCATACTCAATGGGAAAGTGCCCAAGCAACATTGCTCAAAAACGTTGCCCCGTGTATCATCACCTTTAGAATTTAGAGAGATAGACCACTAAAAATAAAAATGCTGCCTAGTCCTCATTTACACTCTTTTACAGAACACCAAAGAATTACTACAATTATAAAGGATATATTCAAAACCTGGAACTACAGCCTGAATGACATCTGAATGGCAGGAGAGATTGTTGGTAACCAAACCGTTTTTGTTCTAACATAGCTTCCATAGGCTTCCATGGAAAAAATACTATGAAAATCAATGCAACCAGAAACTGTTCGGTAATCAACAATCTCACCTTCCATTCAGATGTCATTCTGCTTCTAGTTCCAGGTTTTGAATATAGGCTATCAATTATAATTGTAGTTAATTGTATGGGATAGAATGGTTCAGAGTAGATGTAAATATGTCACTTGTTAGCAGTCAGCCTTTGGAAGTTTAGAGTAACATTACTCTGTTTTTGTTTTCAGGTAGAACAATCTGATGAACCAGACGCTGATGATTTATCACTTCGTTTCCTCTCCGTTAGTGACAATTCAACAGTTGCCACGTTCTTCTGCTCAGAGAAGACTGAATTTGTACTTTGGGTAACATAGTTAACGATTTCCCCACATTGGCTCATGCATTTGTCATGCTTTTTGGACTAACGTACGCCTTGGATCTAAGTTCCCTAAAAGAGTTGGACAATACATTTGACTTTACCCACAAATTCGTGATGGGTCTGGAGGATGGGAAGCTGAGACCCAGAATGTTGAGTCTTAAAAATTAACTTTTGTCAGTAGAGTTTCCTCAGTGTTTGAACAAAGCTTACAAAGGTACTGTTTTATTTGACATTTCATTTAAACTTTAACTTTTCTCACTTTTAGTGCATTGTGTATTTTTTTAACAATATTTGTCTAGTATTTAATTTGCAGAACATTTTCTCAGTTGATTTTCTGGAATGGTATAAGTTCCATATACAGTACCATGTGTTCATCCACTCATAGGAAATACTGTTTAAAAAAAAAATCCATTGCTCTATTTTGAAATCTTTCTCTTATATTCTATTCTAGTATAACTTTTATATTTCTAAAGTTACTGTTGGATGTGAATTTTGGAAGTGTCCCTATTTTAGGGAAGTGTTTACAGCTGGGTGATTTCCAGATATCCATATTGTCCACTTCTAAAAGTGACAGTTATTATCTCAGCTCATTTCTGTTTTGGAGAATGTATTTCCATTTGACAAACAATTTAATGTTGATGTTTTGTTAATGGTTTGTGGTTACTTAATAAAAGAGTGACTTGCATTTAAATTGTCTGTGTTAATCCGTTTTTTTTCTCAGAATGAGTATAGTTAGTGTATAGTTATGTTATTAAAACAAATATTTTTACTAAGTAAACTTAATTGTAATGTAACAAAAATGTTTAAGTCATCTTTATTTAATTTTAATTGGTTCTGTGAACCCAAAATCTCCTTTTAAAATTAACTTGATCAATAATGTTATAGTAACTTGTAAGATTTAATTTACTTAAAAAGGATGTTTCTTAAACTTTATAAAATTGAGTTAATACAACTTAAAAATTTCGATGTAATCAGTTTCAACTATTTTTTTGAGTTATATTAACTTATCCGGTTTTACAGTGCACTCATTAAACACAGACCTAAAAACACTAACAACAGGTAGCATTTTACAATGTTTGCTTTCATAAAATTTCATTACAAAACAAGAATGACAGTTCTCTACTGCTTATAATTCACTGCAGTATATGTTACATAGTCCGTATTACATTACAATTCAAAAATTATTCCTAAGTTTTCTCCTTTTGTGTAGATGGTAATGAAATTGAAAGACTAACACTTTTGTAGGTGTTCAACTATATCAAATTGCATTGATCGTATTTGTTTTTTAAAAATTCACAATATATTTCAATGTGGTGTTACTGTAGAAATGTATCAAATTTCTGTTTGTTAAATTTTTGTATTATACTAGGTTTTGAACTCAAGTTTAACAGTTTTGTTAAAGTTGGAGAATATCCTATTCATTCGAATAGGAAACACCGATATTTAATGGAGACAAAAAACAACCCGCAGTATAAAAGTAGCCCAAGTCTACGGGGAAACCGAACACTTGGCAACACTGGATTTTATTTAATGTAAGACTGGTAATACAAAGATAGACTATATATCTGTCTATATATGTCTGACGTTTCTGCTGCATTGACAAATTAATATTATATTAGAACATGTACTTAAAACTGGTCTTTCTCCGTTGGAAATGCTACAAAATGTTGTAAAATTCGTTTGAATGATGTTTAAAACTGCATTTAGCATAATTTACCACCAGGTGGCAGCAGATTTTTTTTCTGAACACTAGAAAAACGCTCCGGTTACTGACGTAACCTCGGTTCCCTGAGATAAGGGATGAGCATTGTGTATGGTAAAACTCCTGTTTTACTCTGTACTGAAACCTGATTTGATCACGTTTGTGTAGCTGCACAAACCAATGGCGCTTTAGCCTGCCAGAAAGGGCGGAGCCGACGTGTATATAAGTCGGCTCGCAGCGCCATTTCATCAGATCATTCGACTGAAGCGACAGTCATTGATTCGCGTGCAGCTTATAGCATGGCAAGTGACACAACGCTCGTTCCCTCACCGTCATGCTGTCCGACCGGACTAAGACGTGGTGCCCCTTCAAGGTCGGTAGGAAGGTTTTCAGGGCTAAGAAAACCACCAGCATCTCTAGGCAGTTGATGTACGGACACCACTCCAGGATTGACCAGGAGCCGAATGCCGGATTGCCCTCCGACAGGGTGCCCCAACCTGAGTTGGAAGCGTCTGTTGTGGCTACCTTCCTCTTGGAGGTCAGCCCTAACCTCATTCCTGTTTGAAACAGGCGAGAGGACGTCCAGGGGGCCACGGCCTTGATACAGCGGGCTTTGAACCAAACTGGAGGGGTCACTCAAGCCAGGGACGAGGCGTCCCCTGAAGGTTTTTCAGAGGCTTTTTACTCGGCCTTATGGCGGCCGCTGCCTCTGTAATTCCTCTGGGCCTGCTTCACATGCCTCGTCCCTGGCTTGAGTGATGCCGCTAATCGCTGAATGGTCAGGGATCGCTCCGGCGTAATCCATGCCCACATTCGGACTGAGTCTAAGATTGTCCCCAGAAAGACGGCACGCTGTCTGGCAACAGGTGACTCTTGTGCGGGTTGATAACCAACCCGAGGCACTCTAAGTGGCTGAGTAACAGCTCTCTGTGAGCAGCCAACTACCGTTCTGACCTGGCTAGAACCAGCCAATCGTCGTAGTTCAAAATATGGACTCCCATCTGTCTCAGGGGGGAAAGAGCCGCATCTATGCACTTCGTGAAAGTGTGCGGGGCCAGAGACAGTCCAAACGGAAGGACTGTATATTGATAGTGATTTCAATATATCATAGCATACACTGTAGATTGTATGTGATGGGGGGCTATGTGGATGTGAAAATATG